GAGAGAGAGAGAGAGAGAGAGAGAGAGAGAGACGTGAGGAGAGAAGGAGAAACTTTATGGCGAAGGAATTGGGTTGTGAAGGAAATGGTGGGCGTGGGCAGGCTTGCTCAACTGAATTCTATTAGGCGTTCATCTGCAAGATTCAATTTGTACTCTACACATTTGACTAAATAGAAACCAATGTACAATTCGCACACCATCTCCTTCACTGATTGATTATACGTCCGAAATACACGATAACTTATTCCAAACAGGAACAAATCTGACTTCCAGTCTTTCAAAAGACAAACGATGGATGAAAAACATTGAATAAGAAGAGACCGAAATGAAAAAGAGAGAAGATAGAAGGAGGGGGGTAGAGGAGAAAGTAAAGTGAAAAAGGTCAAAGAAAGGCGTGTGCGCGAATAAAGAAAGGAGAAATAGACAGAGGAAAGAAAGGATAGAGGAATGGGAAAGGGCGACCGTATTAAAAAAATAGATATTTTTCGGGGAACAGTGGCGGCGCTAACGTGAATACTCCGTCTTGGTGGTATTGATCATGGTATCGACACTCAATGATTTTTATGCGTTTTTTGCAGTTTTAGATTAAAATAGACTCAATATTTTACCCTTCCCGTTATCAGGTTGGGACTGGATAGTCTCCATATTTTCCTCTCAGCGTTGTTGGTGGCATTTTGAAGCGTTTCTATGGCAATCTATTTACATCCCTCCAATTTAATACTGCTGTAGGTCTATATATAACAGTCTGTAAAAGCTTTGGCGCGATCTGAGCTCGGGTAAGTGAAATTCGAGACGAAACGTAACATCTCGTATAATATCTCGTATAACTGAATTCGATACTGTGAGCGATTGCATCAGCTTTATCTGTAACTTGTAATAAAAGAATTATTTATAATATTATCAGTAAAACTACTAGTCCCTGTTCCTTAGTGTCTATTCCCTGGTCGCCGTTCCCGGGTTACGATGACGTCAATCTCGCTCTTTCCAAACACAACCAGAAAGGAGGAGAAAGAAAGTGGATAGAACACGGAAAAGTAAATAGGTAGCCTCGAAAAGACAAACTCGAAACTGCACCCATATTGACAATGAAGCGAACCATTAAGAGAAAAAACGAATGAAATCGTTTGCAAAAGACTGAAGACTATCAGACAATGCATCATAACATGTCTGGAGTTACAAAATGTAATAATGTACCCGTCTCCTTTTTGCGTACAGTATGACTTTTTTTCGAAATGAAGTCTGTTAAAATGTTTACAGTTATGGCGTAAAATGCTGTCGAGATACTTTAGTGATAAAAGTGTGACTGCAACTGCCAGCAGTCAGTAAAGAGAAGAAAAAGACTGGAATTTTTGGTCACATATTATTTTTGTGTCACAACACGCTGGAATCAGGTGCTCGTCAAGTTTTGGGCACATGAAGTTATTGGTATGATATCAAAGTATGTTCGTGTGCCGTGCTTTTGATGAAAACATTACCTATCTAACTTGAAGAAAAGTGGAGAAATTCGTTATTGATGGGGGTGAGGTTGTCTGGTGTCAGAGGTAAAACTAGAGAGAAAATGCCCACCAAAGTTTGGTGAATTCCATAGCTTAAGAGTTTTCAGAATCTGAATATTTACATTTTATGTCCGTGATTTTACCAAGATGTCTGTCTGTCTGTCTGTCTGTCTGTCTGTCTGTCTGTCTGTCTGTCTGTCTGTTTG